ATAATTAAAAATTATTTATTATTTTTTTTTTTCCTTTTTGTCTTTTTTTACTGACCGGTAACCGGATTGCAACCCTCGGTGTCGTGCTCGTACCGGGGACTGGCAACGGGATCGCAACCCTCGGTGTTGCGCCCGCACCACGCTCAGCCNAAAATTATTTTTTTCCTTTTTGTCTTTTTTTACTGACCAGTAACCGGATCGCAACCCTCGGTGTCGCACCCGTACCGGGGACCGGCAACGGGATCGCAACCCTCGGTGTTGCGCCCGCACCGTGCTCAGCCAGTGAGCCGGAACCGGTCTCCTCATGGGATCCGAACCCTCAGCGGGAGCGCCTCCGCACTCCCAAGCGGCGCACTCTCCAGTGCACCACCGGGGCAGCCCTAAAAATTATTTTAATCAATACATTCCTTTTCAATTCCCAAGGTCCACTGACCCAAAACCTACACTGACGTTTTTGGTAGGACAGAGCAGGATTAAATATTTTTCTTTTCCAAATGAGTGTCATGTCATCACCCTTATACACTACCTTTCATTTGCAATTTATTCATTTTATACATACCTGTTTATAACAACTGTATTATAGCTATGTTTTTATGGTCTATTCACTATTACCAAATTTATAAAACTATAATCTGATCCTGAAGCATAACAGTATGCATATTAAATGATAGTTTTGGTCTTCAAATGAAAACATTTGTGAAAAAACTAGAATTATTTCCTCAGATACAAAAGTAGAGACAAAAGAAACTTCATTTGTGTAGTAGAATTAAATATCCTTCTGCTAAAGTCAGACTGTGAAAACCACAGTGAAATAATGATTTCTTGCATCTAACTGTGTTCCCTAAAAAGAAATTATAAGGACTCTCAATAAAATTAAGAGAACAGGAAACTAAGACTTGATGATGTTTGAGCTTATGTAGCATACAATCAACTGAAAATTCATTTCGGAAATAGGTTAAGATAATTATTGCATCTAAGATATTTAATGCATCATTATTTAATGATGGCATTAAAATTGAATAGGTTTACAATTAGTTGTACTTTCAGTAAATGAGCAAACCTAAATTTAAAAAGTTACTCTCTCATGATTTAACTTGGGTGAAAAAGATTTAGTATTTCTATTGAACAACATCCCTTCTTGGTGAATTTCGTCTTCCTTACCAAGGCTATGGTGAGAAAATACCCATACTTTTCTGTGTGTGTGTTATGCTTCTATGAAATGTTTCATTGCCATAATTATGGCTATAGAAACTGTAGAATAGGATCTGTACTCACCACTAAATAAAAACTAAGGTACCTGGTCTGTTGTGGAAAGGCAGTTTTCAGCCTGTCTGTAATCCTCTCCCAATTCATCATGGAGAGATCACTTCCCAGACCTGCACTGGGAGGCACAGCCTCTCCCACAGGCGCTGGCACAGTCCAGGCTATGCCAGCCATCTGTAAGGAGCACAGAGTTATAACCCATCAGCTTCAATTATTAGGAAGTAACCTTTTGTGCCAACATGACATTTCCATACCTCAGAAAATGAGCAGAATGAAGAAGAGAGAATACTTACATACATGCCCCCTTTTAAGAGTTTTTTCTTTAACCAGTACAACAATATTTCTAATTGTTTTTACTATTCTAACTTCAAAAATAGGACATGTTTGCCTCAGTAGTTACATACATGTACAGAAATACATGCAGGGTGTTTATTGTTGTATTTTTTTTAATAATAGTGAAAAACTGAAAACAACCTAAAGTCTGTAAATAGAGGAATGAGTAAATTAATTATGGCACATCTAATCAAGTTCTTAAAAATGGATCTATATGTTGGGGCATGAGAAATGTCAATGAAATATCATTAGTTTTTTTTAAAAGTCTGTGGCATAGTATTTATGGTATGCCTCCTTTTACATTAAAAATTAGAAAAATGTATATGCATATGTAAGTTACACAACGATCTATAAACAGCGATTATTTCCTGTAGGGATTTAACTACAGGATAAGTTTACTTTGTAACGTGCATATTTTATATTATTTGCATTTTTACCATTAGCACATATATTTTTATAATTAGAAAAATAATAAAATTTTAAACAATTAAATAAAGATAAGAATATTAGAACAGCTCTGCCCAAAGTCTCATGAATGTTATAGACAAAGGTGGTGTGGAAGTTATAATGACACCTCTGAGCCATGAAACTATCAAAGTTTTCCCCATATTTTATGGAAGTTCCTTCTTAGAACCATTAAGATTCTAACTAATTAATATTAATAAATGAATTTCTGGAATTCTAATCTGATTACTAAGATAATTATATACATGATATCTTTTACCTAAGCCTCTATATGTTATTTTAAAATACTAGATTATTACTCAAGAAAAATTAGCAACTTCTAATAGTCATTGGAATAACTTGCACAAAGCCTAATAAGTGAGAAGCAGCAGAATACTGCCCAGAAATCTAGAGATTTGCCTTAGTATAGAACTCTTCCTCATGAATCAGAAAGTAATCTCAGAAGGTTAAGGTGATTTAATGTTTTCAATTTAAAATTTTATCATAGTTCCTTATAGAATGGTGGGTAAGCAAACTACATGAGCAACACTGCAATATCATGGTGATAAAAATTTGTGGTACTTTTTTAACATGTTAAGGCCTAAATACATATTTATTTGTAGTCAGGTAGCCTCTACAAAAATAAGCAGAATCCATCTGACCTTATATTCAAAAGGAGACTGTTAGTAATAAATGTGTACCAAAAAAGAAAGGAAGAAAGAAAGAAAGGGGGGTGGGGGGAGAGAGAGAGCAAGAGAGAAGAAAGAAAGAATAATCTGCCTAGAATATACTCATGGGAAGGTCAAGATTATAGAATTTTTCATTAATTATATCTAACATCATTCTTTTGGAAAAAGATTCTTTTAATAAATTAAGTTTACCCCAGCCAAGATTACGACTAATAAAACTAGTCATTTTAAATTTGTTTATTTCTTCCTCAGGTTTGGATAAAGCTTATCTGGCTATTTGTAGCTAGGAAGATTTATAACTTTATGATAAATATTCCATGATGATACAATTTATATTATCTGTTTATAGATACAGGTAAAACATTGTGCTACTGTGTGTGCATGTGTATTTGTGTATGTGTAAATAAAATTTTTCTTTAAGCTTTGGGGTGTAATTTAGTTTGTTATCACTTGGCTTCTTTGCTTTTCAATTTTCCCAAAACCATGCTAAAAATAGAATATCTATTAAAAATATCAATCTGGGGCTGGCTGGTTAGCTCAGTTGATTAGAGTGCAGTATCAGAACACCAAGGTCAGGGGTTCAGATCCCTGCACTCGCCAGATGCCCCCCCCCCCAAGGAAAAATCAATCTATCCTGCATTGTTGCCTGTTACAGAAATAAAACTGTAATTGTAAGGTGTCTTTAGTATAAAAATATATTTATCTTTGTATCCAGCAACTAAGCTAAGATCAGGTAATGAAATAATTTAATATATGTAACACTCCTAGCACAGTGCTTCACAGGAAGTATTTTTGTTTTTAAAATTTATTTATTTATTTTTAAAAGATGACTGGTAAGGGGATCTTAACCCTTGGCTTGGTGTTGTCAGTACCACTCTCAGCCAGTGAGCTAACCAGTCATACCTATATAGGATCCGAACCTGTGGCCTTGGTGTTATCAGCACCGCACTCTCCCAAGTAAGCCAGGGGCTGGCCCTGAAGTATTTATTTAATTATCATTCAATTATTATCACCACCATCACCATCATTATCATATCAAATGAATGAGCAAAGAGAAGATATTCCTTCAGGAAGTCCACTATCATGATAAAAAAAACTAGTTAATGTCTGTTCCACTATGAAAAGTTCTTACCACAGGGGTTCTAGTTTGCCCAGCTGAAGAGATAACTCCAGGGCAAACTGCAGGCATTTGAGGAACAGTAAGGATGGGTCTAAAGAAAGATTCTTTCACAAGAGGTCTTCCTAAGAACTGCTGCATCTAAAATAGAAAAGGTAAAAAGACAACAACAACAAAAAAATCCACATTTATATATTTATACAGGCAATGATCTAAATTCATAGAGCAATGTATGAGGGAAAACAGTGATTTGAAATCTAGATACAAATCACATTAGAAACAATGTACATCAGGACATTAGTTAAATATATGAATATCTGAAAAAGCAAAGTGCAGTGAGACATACAGGAAAGAGCATTGAAAGAAAGAGAACTGTGTTCTAGTCCTACTTTCTCTCTACCTAGTTGGGTGACCTTGGATGCCAAGTTTCTAATCTATAAAATGAGAGGGTTGGGTTAGGTGATCTTTAAGGTTCCTTCCCAATTTCAATAAAAAAGGCATATGCAAAGAAGATTCTCAGTGAGTGCTGTCCATGTTGGTGAACAACATTATAAAGGACAATATTGATACTCATAAAATTCACAAAATAATCCAAAGTTATTAGTAGAAAATATTGCTTTCTTTATTAGGTATTGGAGGTAACACTTGATGGAATCCTGCCTTTATGTTTAGCTCCAAGGATACTAGAAGGATGAAATAGGTGGACCTAAAGGATAAACTTTCCTCTAGTGACTTGTAGATATGCTTGTGGGTGTTACTGTACTTCATAGGGGGTTATGGAAAACTAGACCTTCTTCGAAGCTACTGACAGAAGAGATATCTTGTTGGCTGGAGTACAGAAGGGGACAGATTTATTGAGCATCTATCTGTGTACCAGGCCTAGCAATGGCATAAAGCATAAAGCAGGAGTTCAATAACAATTTATTGAAGTAAAAAAAATGAACAACATCAATATAGTTAGTTCTAAATAGTGATCCTAAAACTAGTAGATGAAAAGTTAACAGGGGAAGCAGGCAAGAGAGCATGCCCGAGCTCCTACGCAGGAGCTGAGGGCAGCTCCCACTGCCCAAAAGCAAGCAAGAGAGCATGTCAAAAACACCACTTCTGAGCAGGTGGCCCACCACAGCAACTGCCACAGCCATAGCTGCTGAAAGAGCAACTCAGCATCATAACAGTAGCCACAGCCACCATGCAGGCAGCCTGCAGACACACTTGACTACATTGACACAAGGAGAGTCCTCAGCAAAAACTGGAAAAAGAAGAGGCCGTCTCTCTCCTCAAAGCCCACTCCAGAGTAACAGAAGCAACTGCTCTACTAGATGACCAGACATCAATGTAGAGATATTAGAAATACAAAAACCCAAGAAAATATGACAGCACCAAAAGAACACAGTAACTTTCAAATACCAGATCCTATAGAGCAGGAAACCCTTGAAATGACTGAAAAGGAATTTCAAGCAACAATCTTAAGGAAACTTACCAAGATATAAGAAGACTCAGCTAGACAACATAATGAAATGAGAAAAAAAAAAATCCAGGATATGAAGGAGAAAATTTGCAAAGAGATTAATACCTTAAAAAGAATGTAGCAGAACTCACAGAACTGAAAGATTCACTCAGCAAAATAAAAAACACAACCAATAGGTTAAGCAGCAAGCTAGAACAAGCAGAAGAAAGAATTTCTGATCTTGAAGATAAGTCTTTGAAACAACGCAGTGAGATTAAAAAAAGGAAAAAAGAATTTTAAAAAATGAAGACAATCTAGGAGAGCTAACAGACAACATTAAGGACACAAACATCTGAATTATGGATGTTCCAGAAGGGGAGGAGAAAGGAAAAGGCATGGAAAACCGATTCAATGGAATAACAATGGAAAATTTCCCACGTAGAGAGAGACATGGACCTTCAGATCCAGGATGCTCAAAGATCCCCAAACAGATTCAACCCAAAAAAGATCCTATCCAAGACACATCACAGTCAAACTGGCAAAGCTCAAAGAGAGAATCTTAAAAGAAGCCAGAGAAAAGAGTAATCACCCATAAGGGAGCCCCTATCAGACTAACAGCAGACTTCTCAATAGAAACTCTACAGGCCAGAGAAAATGGGATGATAGAGTCAAAATACTGAAAGAAAAAAACTGCCAGCCAAGAATACTATACCCAGCAAGACTATCCTTAAGAAAAGAGGGAAATATAGTGTATTTTCCAGACAAAAACTGTGGGAGTTCACCACCACATGACCAGGCCTAAAGAAATCCTGAAGGAAGTCCTGCATAAGGAATCTGAAAAATGATAATCATTACCATGAATACAGAAAAAAGAATAAAACCCATTGGTAGAACAAAAATACAAACAAGAAAGAGAAAGAAACTAAATCACACCACCACAAAAAAACCATAATGCAATGTGATAAAGCCTCTGCTTTATTTCTGCTTTTAGTAATTTTAATTTTGGTCTTCTCTCTTTTTTTCTTGGTCAGTCTAATGGTTTGTAAATTTTGTTGATCTTTTTAAAGAATCAACTTTTGATTTTGTTGATTTTTCTATTGTTTTTTAACTCCCTATTTCATGTATTTCTGTTGTAATGTTTATTATCTCCTACTTATATTTGCTTTTGGTTTAGTTTGCTCTTCTTTTTCGATTTTCTTAAAGTAGAAGTTTACATTACTGATTTGAGAATTTTCGTCTTTTTAGTATAGGTGTTTAAAAGCGTAAATTCTCCTCTAAGCACTGCACAGGCCCTGTATCCTATAAATTTTGATATGTTTTGCTTTGATTTTTATCTCAAAGCACCCTCTAATTTCCCTGTGATTTTTCTTTTTACCTATTGTTCATTTAGGAGAGTGCTGTTTAATTACACACTTGTGAATTTTCTAAATTTCCTTCTGTTATTGTGATCAGAGAACATCTCAAAGCACCCTCTAATTTCCCTGTGATTTTTCTTTTTACCTATTGTTCATTTAGAAGAGCGCTGTTTAATTACACACTTGTGAATTTTCTAAATTTCCTTCTGTTATTGTGATCAGAGAACATATTTTCTATGATCTTAGTCTTTTTTTTAATGTATTAAGACTTGTTTTGTGGCCAAAATTTTAAAACTAAAAATTTTATGGGGAACTTTACAATGACTTGACATTTTATTCCTAGCATCACTGAAGGAGAGACATTGTGTAACTTCTAGGTAAGAAAAAGACAACTGGGAAAATACAAATTCTAACTAGATACAAGATATTAAAAACTTTATAATTTTTTTAGGTAAAATAATAGTGGTATAATCATACCCAATAAGAGTTCCTCATCTTTTAGGATATTTCCTAAAGAATAAATGGATGAAATTATATGATGTCTGGGGTTTGCTTTAAAATATTCCGGTGGAGAGAAAGAAGGAATGACATAAAATAAAACTGACAAAATGTTCACAATGTTGAAGCTGGCTCTTGGGTTCCCAGAGATTCATTATACTATTTTCATGTGTTTCAAATTTTTCATAATGTGAAGTTTTTACAGAATTAATGAATGTTGGGTGCTGAATTAATAGTCCTGTTCTCTTTGAGAATCCCTACTACTCAACACTTTTTTGAGGTTTAAACAGCCAGGCTACCAAAATCGAGATATAATGACACACTAGGTTAAAAACACAGTGGGTTAAACTGGGAACAGACCACATTACCCTAGACTTCTCAGGGTAGACTACTATACACAGTCTGGTGATGATTCCTCAGAACACAAGAATCTCCGAGACAGATGGGAGTTTTAGTGATCAGATCATCTAGTACAATTTCCTAATTCGTCAATGGGAAAAACCGAAGTCCTGACTTTCTCAAGACCAGCACAGCTCTTCACAAAGTTGGGACCTGAACCCAGACCTCTCTAGAGTACTTCCATAGCACAACACCATTTCAATTCAGAGCAAAGAGCACTGTAACATTTCTAGCATTTGTTCTCTCAAACTGTTTCACTTTTGCTTGAGGATCACTGATGCTTGCACTTTAAGACCACTGTTAGCTTGATCAAGCACAGCATTGATCTGTTTAGGAAGCACAAAATATACATGTGCACCCCTCAGACTGTTTGTAAAGGATGATTTGAATTGCCATACAGCCTAACTGCCAATGGGTTTTTGCCATTAACTAAACCTGGGTAAGCCACCTAAGATGGAAGAAAGTCTCCCAAAAAATTAAGGTCTAGATGGTCTGTAGGTCAAGGTTTGACTATGTTTGTCAACTATATAGTATCACTGGTTTCAAACAGACAAGGCTTATGCTGGTATGGTTCCAGAAACTTCAAAGAACAACTCTGTATCTAGCATGTCAGTCTCTGGAGCCATTTTATTTTAGAGTCATGGGAGAGTTTAACCACAATCTATGGGTAATATTTTGAATATGGGCAGAAGGTATAAGATTTTTACCAAAAGTAAGTGTTACTTCCTTCAGAACTACAGGGAATCTTTGGGATTTCTCTGTTACCTACTTAACACATTGGTTATCAGGATAGTTAGGTATGATGATGTTCCAAGCCTAAAATAATATGTTCATGAAACAGTGCTCCTGTAGAAACTGAACTGACAAAATATATAAAAGGCAATACTATCATTCTAAACTAAAGCATGCAGTATATACAATTCTTTTAGCTCTGGATTCTGCTTTCTGAACACAGTGTTACTCCATACAATTCATATAATTTTTAAATTCTTTGTTACACTCAATCATGAGTAGAAATTACATATTCAGATTTCTATTACAAGAAGGAGTGCTGATATCAAAAGTCATCTGCTCCCAAATCTTATACCTTTCTTCTCTTCCTACCCCCAGATCTGTCATGATAATAAAAGTTATCACCCAATGGTACCCTCCTAAAAGGGTAACATAAATAGTTATAGCATAGAGATTAGTTTATCCAGTTAAGATCCATTGGCCCTGAAAAACAAGCAGAGAAGGGACATAAGTGGAAGCTATCCTTGCTACTGAAGGTAGAATAGAATATAAAAGTTAAGAAAAAGAAAGCCTAAGTAGAAGTGGAGGGATGAAGTCCAGCCTACTAGGGTACTATGCTGAGATGCTTCAATCATCTATTGGTAACTGATGAATACTCAGAATTTCCAGTGCTCTCATTTTATCTCTCACAATGTAAGTGACATTGACAGGATGAATGAGAAAATATTACTCTTTAGACATTACATGCATCACTAAAATACAGTGATACAGACTACTACATTGGCCTTAGCTGAGCCAGCCAACAAATTATATTATCTGGTGACTAGTAAGTACAAACCTAATTGCAACTAGTATTCACAACATGTGCCTATTCCATTTCAAACACACATTAAACATACTGCACGTTCAGTGTTTTATAGCTATTACCATTTTATCAAAATGAAAATAGCAATTTTTCAAAATGTCATGTTTCTTACCAGTATCTCAGGACTGGGTGGTGGTGGAGGAAGCTGTACTGGAGGCAAGGTACTCAAGGCAAACCCTTGCTTCACCTTGTTGATTTGTTCATTGTACTGTGCCTGGCAGAAGAGGAGAAAAAATATTTTAGAGCACAATCAACCTTAAAGAAATAGCATATGGAAATACTTGATGTAGTTTTGGGGAATCTTGCATGATACCACTACACCAGCAGCGCTCGCAACTTGATGTAGTTTTGAATAATAAAACACAGAATAGTGTTTCCCAACCTACTGTCAGACCACTGTCCCCACATGTAAATAGCTATATTCTTAGAAGTGTTTGATTGACAAGAAACAGAGACACATACTTCACAGATCTTTGTAATAATTCTTCAGTGTTTCCATAATTTCCAGTTCCAACCAAAATATGAACCACTGGTATAAAGTGAATAAAGAATCTAAAGATTCAATAGCTATGAATAACATACTGGCTAATAAAAAGAGAAAAAATTATGAGAGTACTTCAAAAAGTTGATGGAAAAATGAAATTAAAAGGTAATATGAGGGGCCGGCCCGGTGGCGCACTGCTACAGTGCGCCGCTTGGGAGTGCGGCGGCGCTCCCGCTGAGGGTTCGGATCCCACATACAGATCGGCCGCTCACTGGCTGAGCGAGGTGTGGGCGCAACACCGAGGGTTGCGATCCCGTTGCCGGTCCCGGTCCGGTACGGGCGCGACACTGAGGGTTGCGATCCGTTGCCGGTCACGAAAAAAGACAAAAAGGGAAAAAAAAAAAAAGGTAATATGAACTCTTCCATGAACTTTTTGAAGATCTTTCAAATTTGTAACAAAGAGCTTGAACTACATGCAAATGTTCATTCTAAAAACTGAAGGGGAAATTCTAGGGGATACTTATTAAGTATCCACATTTTCTTTATCTTAAAACCTATATCTCTAGCTTGCTCCACCTCCATATATATTTTATTCTCTTGGATTTTTGCCAAAAATGATACTCCAATCCTGGAAACTTAACAACATGTTTTCAACATTTTCTGGCATTGTCCCCATTTTGTTTTATCAGATTATTTTGTGAATAACCCAGAAGAACTGGAAAACGAAGTCTTACAAAACAGAACATTTAGAAACCTCCATACCAGAGGACATGTGCTAAAAGAAAACATGGATAGAGAACAAGGGGCAGATCTTTTGAGGCCAAAACTTTGAATACATCTAGCAGAAATGCTAAACATCACTAAAGACTGAGTAAGAAAGAGTCTGGACAGAAATAGTCAAAACATCAAGGAAGAAGCTGGACAAGTCTATAGTGCTTTGAGGCAGCTCTTCACAATTGAACATCATTGTTATTTACTGGTAATGTCATGAAATCATAAAGCAACAAACATATACCAACCTTAATGCATAAATATAAAAAGATTCTAAAACCAAATTAATTAATAAATATTCAGTGGGTTATCTCTTTAGATTATTTTTAACACAGTCCTAAATCTATTAAACCAATAATTAAGAATTTATTATTTTGCATTATGGAATAATTACATAAAAAGTTAAGACTGAAAGCTAATACAGGACTATTTGATCTGCCTTTTAATTCTGTAAACACGTTATCACTCAGACCAAGTTAAGACATTTATTTTTAATTGGGGCAGAGTTAGCTTTGGAATTCTAGAAAAACTTGGTGTGAGACACAACTTTTGAGTTTATCATTTCCTGAACTAAAAGACCATATATATGAGTCTAAGATGCTATGTATAATGAACTAAATGGAAGTAACCAATCCTAAACTGAAGGCATAAACTTTGATAACTGAAATGAAAAACACATTCTTCCTTACATTTCTCTACTAATTGCTTTTAATGTTAGATGTCTTCTTTAAGTATAGACCACCCATAACATTCAGCCAATTTACTCTAAATGTATTTCAGGACTTACCCTGAGAAATGCAATCTTGTTTCTAACATCCGTCACAATGGCATTCCAACTATCTACTGCAGCCTTCAATTGAAGTGATTCTAGGTTGCTGGTGAAAAGGAGACACAAGAGAAATCCCTTTTTTTTAATTTAACACTTAGGTTTCCAAAAATATCCATTATGCTCTCTAGCATACATGTAAATTACATAAACAACAAAAATAGCTCCATCATCGACAATTACCTCAAATAGTTGTTATTAAAAATAAATCAAAAACTAGCAATAAAAATTTTTTCAAGAGCAAATATAACTTATGCTTCCAGTACACCAAGTTTTTTTCTATCTTGGCAATATTTTTTTAGGACATCTTATAAAGCCTTCATACAGAAAACCCTCCAATGAAGTAGGGAAGCAGAGAAGGCCAGAGAAATTGCCTTAGTCATCTAATGTATGAGCACTCTCAATAATGGTAACCCATCTTGAAAGCAGGTTTTGAACTAACTTCACATTAACCTTGACATCACAGAGCCATGGCTGGCCTATCCGCCTCCTTTGCAAATTAGAAAAAGATATTGCCTCTGGGAGGGCAAATAGAATTAACTCCTCTGTGAGGATAAATGAGATTGCAGCCTTTGTGCAGTTCATGAATCACAGCACAATAAACGCAGAAGCTCCATCAACACATGCCCACCAAATGATTAACTAAAGTAGGAACAACTCTGAGGTCTTTAGGGTCTACCATCTCCAGAGGAGAAATTTCATGTGGCCTTTTAAAAGGACCTATCTGTTATAACATCTCCATGCCAGTATCACCCAGCCCAACAATTTTAAAAGAGCAGAACAAGTTATCAGTAAGATCATTTCCTACAAAGAGGCTTCATAATATTCTAATTTATACAGCATCCTTTTTCCCTTTAGCAAACAAAGATAGACTGATCGCTTGAATGTATATCAGTATATCCTGGGAATCTTGGTAAACATCAGAGATTCTGATTCTTTATAAAGAACAATGATGATCATTAAAATAAATAATGATGACTTGGTCCCAGAGATTCTTATTTAATTAATTCTTTAAGATTGAAGGTACACCCCACAAGATTATAAATTTAAGGAGAATTTCATGTAACCTGTCCAATATTTGAAAATTACTCTTTTATAGCATACCAGGAAAACTGCCTGTAACATTATTTTATATGTTAATACTGATTTTTTTTTTTTTTTTGTCTTTTTTTGTGTGTGTGTGAGAA